CCCCCCCGATTGTTTAGTAGTTCCCCACAATATTTTTGAATGCTGAGATAATAAATCTGTGTCAGAAATCCTTTGCCAGAGCTAAGACTTACAACACACAGCTGGAGAAGAGAGCCCTGTTCTGGTTGGTGTGCTCAAATCAAACTACATATTACTTATACTGTGTGGCAGAGATCAAAGCTTTATTCCATTGTGCAAGTTGTATGTCATGTGGCATTTAGTGGAGCAGTTCAACTGTTGCTTTTCATTTGAACTCCAAGCTCCAGATCTGTAAGTTAACTGGAAGGAGGAGACATTGGACAAAAACATTCAAGTAAGAAGTTGTAAGTAACTGGACTTCCGAGAGATATGTACACCAGCAATCTCCTTTCTCTTACAACATTAATTTAAGCATATCGAAAGTACTGAAGAATTTTTTCAGTCACTGCAGATTCTCAGCTGAAACTACAACTTTTTTGGTAATGCTATATTGCTGTAAGATTTTAGAACTAGTAATAAATTGTTAGTTTAAAAAAAAAAAAAAAGAAATTCTCTGCTAGTTACTTGTCTCAAGGGATGAGGCACACTGTTTCCACATGGCAAAGCTCCTGGTGTTACTATGTGGTACATATTGAAACTTGGGAGAGTAGAAATGGGTGATCCAATCTGAGAGTGTGGGAGGCTGGGAAGGAAATAGGTTGATAACCTGGAGAGAGAAGTGAAAAGGCTCGCTGTGTTGTGTGGTAGCTTACAAGGGTGCTACTTCGTTGCAGGTTGTAGCCTGAATTCAGAGCACCAGAAGTGTTCTGTGTCATTAGAGGGCAAGTATCTCTGCACAGTTGCCCAGCTCCATGAGAGCTGAGTGCAGGTGTTTGCTACCTGCCAGTGAGAGAATATTCTGCAGAACTTCCTTCACTCAAGTTTTCTTCTGCTATCAAAGCTCCCTTCTCCACTTCAGTTTTCTGTCTTGTATTTTCTCTGACTGGTTGCAGCCCTGGCTGCAGAGTGACGAGGGAAGACTTAATTGACCCGAGTCCATTAGAGATATGAAACAAGAAGAAATTAGTTGAAACTGAGCTCTGATGAGACTGAATGGAGCATGCTTAACTCTTCTGCTTAAAGGACTGGTTCAGTTCCTTGCTACTTAGTGTCCTGTGATATATATTTTTAAAATTATTTAGTGGTAAAGCTTGGTAAAGTTTGCTAAATTAATTAATCTAAAATTTCTTTAATTACTAATGCTGCAGTGCTATGGCTTCCTGTCTTCAGTTTTGCAGATGCAGCTGATTGTGGGTTTATGCTTAAATTGCATCCGTGGTATGGCCTGAATTAAAAATGTTAAAAAGAAAAAGTTCATTTCACTCCATTTCACTGATCTGGTTTAAGTGGCAGTCCTACAGATAGTTGGGTCAGCAGCTGAGGGAGTGGTGAAGAGATTAATAAGGGAGAGGTGAAGGGGAGAACCTCCTAAACTGGTTTTGCCACTAGTAAAAATGTATGTCAAACTTCCACAGACTTGCAGATGTGGAGCAAGGTAGACTACGTTAACAGTTTCCCTTGTCTCAGTGGTAGATACATTATCTCTGCTCAGTGGCCTTAAGCTGTCAACTCACAGCTTTGGGGTGGGAACAAACTTTATTGCAGTGTCACCATCAATATATATCAGGCTTCTTGCTTTGAGAATCTGGTTCAGTGTATGGGGAATTCACTGAAATGAACCTACTGCTACTGAGTGTCTCTCAGCACCTAGTATTTCATATTTGGAGACCTGGAGTGTTAAGATACAGCTCGCATACATACTGCATATGTAGGATTTTGTTTAAAATTAATTGGTCAGTTTATTTCAGTGTCAAGAAAGTCCTTATAATCTTGACTTTAAAAAAAAAAAAAAAAAGGTATAATGCTTCCAGTCTGCAGGCAGTTTACAGAACAGTTCGGAAGTTTTCAACCACTTTTATCTCTTAATTTCACCATAGACTTAATGCTGCTTTCAGTAAATTGTCGATCATTTTAGTGGGTGAATGTGAGGGAAGGATGAGTGAAGCAAAAGTCAAAAAGCAGCAATCCTACAATTCTGAAAATTCTTCCTGTGTGCAGCTGTCTGTACACATGCACTGAGCAAAGATAATTTAAGAAGTTTTCTATTCTGCTCTTTGTGAAAGACGCTTTCCTGCTAATACAAATTTTATAGGTTCAGAGGAATAGATGATTCTCAAGATACACTTCAGCCGTATGAATTTCAGGAATGGAATTTCTCATTCCTCAAATAAGTTTGGACAGTCTGTTTGAGTCACTTCTGACATCATAGGCTCCTTTATCTGCTGACTTGCCAGATAGCTGGTAATGGAGAATAGCACTGTTCAGAAAACAGATGATCTGTACTGATGTCAGATCTCCCTCTCTGTTTGAAGGATGTGGTGTTAAGTTTGCATCCAATGATCAGACTGTTCTTCAGTTTCTTACGGAGCTTGTTAGATTGGTATGCTTTGAGTTGTCTGAGATTTGGGAATACTTAAAGGTATACTTTAAGATGATTCCTAGGTATAGGATCTCCTATAATGGTGTTCCTTTGCATATCACTGGGAGCATTTGAAGTGGAATGTGTATGCCAAACCTGTTCCATTTCTGTCATCTTTGAACTGGTTTGGAGTTGGTTCACACTGCTCTAGGACACTTAGAGATAAACTTGGTATTAGGATCTTGATAGAGGCAGTGATAGCAGAAAGATTGTACTATTGTGATCCTGGTGTATGTCAGAAGAATATGATGTCAAACTGCATGTTTCCAGACATGCAGTCTTGGAGAATTTCAAGCATGACTCAACTTCTGACCCCCTTTTTCTGAGGCAGAAAGTGAGATCGTTTTTGGTGTCTCAGGGTAAAGTAAGAGCAGAGACTCAAGTCATACGTAGTATGTGTATCTGTGCTGATTATATCCATGGCACGTCTTTGTGGTTGACCGCCTTGGTCAATCTTCAGAGATCCTAGGAGACAGAAATGTGGCAGGGAGTCTTTGGACTGTGCCCAAGTTTCTTATCAAGCAAGTCTAATTTCTTGCCATAGTTTTTGGAGGCTTCTCTCCATAATTCCAGGGTGTGGAATCCAGGAATAAAAAGTTGGAGGTAGAACTGCAAGTAGCTTTAATATATATCATAGTTTCAAGGGAGAAAGCTTTGTTTGTGACAAACTAACATTAATATTCAAGTAAAGGTTAAGGGGAAACACCCATTCAATTTTAAAGAATGGTTGTTTCCTTCATGTCAGCTAACAGTTTTGATGTGTGTGGTTTCTTTTTTTAATGCTCCTGTGATCATTACATTTTTTTATTTTATTTTTGCTTTTTTTCCTAGAGATGTGAATTATGCCCTCATAAGGATGGTGCTTTAAAGAGAACAGATAATGGGGGTAAGTTTTACTCTTATTTTTTGTGAACTCTCTTATTTTGTATGAGGGAAATAAGTCTGTGAAAAAAAAAAATAGGGGTCCTAAACATAATTTAAAACACTGGCTGATTTGGAAAGAGAGAACTATTTTATAGTTGAATGTAGTTTGAGAACATCATTATTCTTAGTTTTATATCTTAGAAAAAAAGTTACAATGAAGGACAAACTGCATTTTAACATAGGATAAAAACATGGGTAAAAAGGATAAATTTTATGTGTATTTAGTTGGAGTTTGAATGTTCATAGAAGGCTGTTGAAAGTGCTCCATTCATGGAGGAAAGTGGAATTTTTACGTCTGTAGCCCAAACTGAATGCACCAGTGCATTTTCAAAGGATAGCTCTTTCATGCCTGATTTACTAATAGGTTCTGTAACAAAGAAGTTAGGGCTGAAAAGTTGCAGTAGTGATTACCTGTCCCTTGCATCTTTCTAATTTCATCGTTCAGGTTATCAGTTCCGCTTCTGCTGAGTAGAACTGATGGAGAGAGTCTCCACTGAATATCCCGTCTTGATTATGTTTATACTAATAGCTGGGTGATATGAGTGAAAAATTTCAATTAACTTTTCAATCACTTCTGGAATTCCTTCTTCTCTCTTTACTAGATACTTCTAAATTCCTGTCTATCATCTATCTGTAAATAGCTTGGTCGTTTTGATACTGAGACCTTTCTCTTGTGAGAGGAGAAAGTACAGTCAGGATTCTGCATTTCATTTGGACAATCTATGTAAATTTTATTCTGGACTGAATATGTAATATTCTAACTAATGTATAACTTAATTTAGCTTAGTGTTGATGCATCTTTGCTATTTCTGTTGCAATTGTGTTGCGGGAACACAGAGCCTGCTTCTGTTGGGGCTGATGTACCCTTTCCCTTGTCTACAGTTTGACTGCAACGTACAGTGTATGCTTTAGTGTTCACCCTTCTAGGTTCTGCTTATCTCAAACACGTTAGTGAACTTGGTGTCATTTGTGAGTGTTGGGAGATTGTATTGAACTGTGTTGTCTGTGTGTCAGTGAAACTACCATCTTAAGTGCCAGCCCAGTACTTCAGCCTTAAAATTATTTTTCCTCTCAGATAGGTTGATACATGGCAGAGTTGAATTAATTTCTTCAGAAATGGCTGCTGGACGCTTGCTTTTTTAGGAAATAAATAAGAAAGTCTCAAACCTCTTGAAATTTACAGTAAAACTTGTGAAGTATGAAGGCACTGAAGTGTTTTCTGTTTTTATACTTAGATTAGTGTTTGGGAATGCCTTACTACTCTCTGTGGTAATTTTGAAACTTTTTTTTTTGCGTAATGTCTCAAGAATGTATTTTGACAGTGTGCAGCAAAGATCTGAGCATCCTATTAGTTATCTCTTGCAGCTGCATTAATTGTAATTATGAATTCTTGTCTGAAAGGGAATTACTATATGATTGAAATTATTTAAGTTTAAATAGCAAAGGTGTTGTTACACTGTACAAACAGTATTGTCCCCACTATAATCTTAATAACCAACTATTTTCATCAGTGAAAGCTTCATAGTGAAAATTTCATAGCAGAGAAGGCTTAAGAATTTGAAATTTACCTTCTGGAAACATCCCTGCCTCAGTAATAGATCTTGTCTGTGGTGTTGAATACAGCAAATTCTACCTTATGGACCAAATGTCCTGTAAACAACAGCTTTACAGAAGGATGTGCACCTTGGAAAAAATGAACTCTTAATGGGTGTTGCATTTCAGAAATCTACATTCTTAACCTGAAGCTTTCCTTTCAAAGAGTTGCCTAACAAGGGGTAGTGCCAGAAGAGTTTCAGACTTAAGGAGATACTGTTGAAGGTCATGTAATGGGCTTGCCGGTTAAAAATTACATTTGCAGTAGGTTAGTGCTCAGAGTTCTTTTAATGCTGTTACACCATTTGTTGCCAAGGGAAATGATAAAAAGATGCAGGTATTCCTGAAGAAACTTTGAAACAAACATTTCTGATAAAACCTTTTAAGGATCCATCTTTAGAAATTTGTAATTAACAGGGTCTTTCTGTAAGTATAGAAACAATTAAATGGTCTTAGTTTTTTTAGAATAAGTGAAGAAATTACTGATTTTTATGTCAGTGATACCAAGTTATGCTTCTTTCAGCTTTCTGGCAGCAAGTAACGTCATTTTGTTCAGAAAACCAATGCAGTTTTTGTTTTGAATATGCAGAGACCTTAGCTCATACATGGTCTGCTGCTCTTGTAGTTTAGTGGGTTTTTTTTGGGGTAACAGTCTTCTGGATATTTACTTTTTAATAATGTGAAGAAATGTGTTTTGTCTGGGTGCCGAAGATACTGTACTTTATTTTATGTAAGAAATTTTAATGTTTTTTGGTCTACTGAGCTTTTGCTGTAGGGTTCCACGATTTTCTTAAGCTGCAGTAAGGTGCTGTTACTGCAGGGAGGGTTCTTGCCATGCATTACTTCCTCCTCCTTTGTGATGGTACTAGCATTTAAAACTTTTTTTTTCCCCTGGGTTCCTTTTTAGCTAAATGAAATCAGTTCCCTGACCCAGGTGGCTGTGTTAATGCTGACATAGGCGAATGGCCAGAACTGTTCTTTTAGCAACAGCTTGTGCATTACCTGTCTTAAATCAGTTGCACAACTGAAACTGAAGGTGGCCTAATCTTATAGCTCTTACATAGTGATGTAATCTTGCCTTTATGAATTCTGGGGCTGTATGATATATATATGACAAAGTAGTCTGGGAATCAAACTTACACTGTTTTTAAATATTATTGACTGACTATGAAATAGTAATGGTGGTGTATGGTGTGGTGGTGTTGGTGTGTTGTGGGTTTTTTTTGTGACTCACTCTGTTTCTCCCCCTCCCAGTGTCATGAGGTTCCTTTGTGCGCATTCTCACTCTTCTTACTCCTTCTGCTTTTACTGGCCTTTTACTGCCTATCTGACTTTCTGAAGATCAGCACTTCTTCAGATTTGTTTTTTGGTTTTATATTTATGGATGGAGACATCTACTGTACCTTAGTCATGCTTATCAGTACAGTTGCTGAGGGGTAATGTTGGGTTCTCCAGTGTAATCTATGGCAAATACAGAATTACAGTTTTCAGTGATATCATAGTTACAGTATTCTTGGAGGAGCACTGTCATGGATCTTAAACAGAACTTGAAAGTGCCAGCATGAGGTAGTAAGAGAAGAGGAGCATAACATAGAGGCCAAACATCTCTATCAGTATGAACTAGATTCTTAGGAAAATTTTTGTATGCCTTCTCAGAATACTTTCCCAGCCTATAAATATTTACACTTTGGGACTTCCTTAACCAGAGATGGTATTTTTGTGTTTAATGGAATAAGAGCCCATCACGCTATTAACGTGTCCACTTCTGTATAAAGGTTTTGTGTCCATAATGTGTGGCAAGACATTTTACAGTTGATCTGTACAGTGTGTAAAGATGTACTCTGATTTGTTTTGAACCTGTTACCTTGTGTTTTTATTTGATGCTGCATGACACTTGCTAAGTGATAGGAAGTGTCAGAGCGCACTTATTCTATGTTCACCTTTTCATCACCTCTTCTGGCTCTATAGACCTCTGTCATATTCTTGTTTTGTCTCCTTTTCAAGATGAAGGAGCCCAGACTGATTGGGCATTCCTTGCACAGAAAACTGACTGTCCTGGTTTTGGCTGGGATAGAGCTACTTTTTCTTCTTAGTAGCTAGAATAGTGCTGTGTTTTGGATTCAGCATGGGATTTGGTATGAGAAGAATGTTGACAATACACCAATATTTTTAGTTGTTGCTAAGAAATCAGGGACTTTTCAACTTCCTGTGTCCTGCCAGTGTGCAGGTGCACAAGAAACTGGGAGGGAGCACGGACAGAGCAATGGACCTGAACTGGCCAATGGAATATTTCATGTCCTATAACATCATGCTCAGTATATAGATGAGGGTTGGCTGGGCAGCTGGCTCTCTTGGTTCTGGGATTGCGGTTTCAGGATCTTCTCTGGATTCGCTGGCTGGGAATGGGCTGAGCATTGGTTGGAGGGTAGTGAGCAATTATGTTGTGCATTACTTGTTTGTATTCAATTATTATTACTTTTTGTATTATTATAATAATAATATTTTTATTATATTTCAATTATTAAATTGTTTTTATCTCAACCTATGAGTCTACTTACCTTTACTCTTCCAATTTCTCTCCCCCATCCCCTGAGTGGGGGAGGGTGAGCAAGCAGCTGTGTGGTGTTTGGCTGCTGGCCAGGTTTAGACCACAACACTGACCATCGCCTTTCCCCTTCTCTGTGTCTCCCAAATGACACTAGCCTAAATATTCACACTACTTTGAAAGTAGGACAGATCCTGAAATAGCAACAAAGTTACTGATTTTAGCAAGGCTTTTGCCTGAAGAATGTTCTTAAATTTGCATGTGCTGTTGTCTGCATTTGCTCTGAAAACAGAAGATATTTACATTTTTGAGGCATGAACTATTTATACAGCCATAGTTAAATCTTGGCTATTTGGGTTATTGGAGGCGGTGTGGAGTAGGATAGGGGAAGTTCAGTTATCCTAGATAATAGTGACTGTACTAGCCACGTGGTTTCTAGACAGTGCTGTGGAAACATTCCACTTATGGTTGGAAACTCATGCAGATGGTTGTGCACCAAGTTGCTAGTGTGTGTGGATCTGGAAGGACTGAAGAGTTTAGGTGAAGCTCTAAGTGGAAATGGCATTTTTTGTTCCTCATAACCTTTTTTGGTACACTGAAGGATACACGGATGCTTGCCTATTCTTGGCTTGGTGATAGTGGCTGCTGTTGGAACCTGTAGCAAGGCCAAAGAGATAATTCTGTCTGGATTTGATCAGAATATGTCCTAATCTGCTTCAGTGTCCTTCTTGCGTTTTTCATTGTCAAAGACCTGAACTGACCCTGAACAGAAGCAGCTAAGGTCTTGTTGCACATGTTTGTTCAGTCTTTGCATGAAAAGGGTC